ACAAAAACTTTTGACTCTTACAACGTAATCAGAACGTATATAGATACGATATGTTTTAATATCTGATCGAAGAAGAGTCAATTAATGACAAGAACTAAGAAAATTTTAAAAAAGAAAAAAAGAATAATTTTAAACAATATCTTTATACTAAATATATCGTACTCATAAGTAGAATGTATATATTAACGCTTGATATAGTCGTTTTTAGACTCAATGAAATATTGATAGTATATATGAGCACGAAAATGTTGACAGGGGATCTGTTTCGTCCAGGACATTTTTTTATTTCCGACGTTTTTTCTGTTTAGTCGTTCAGATGCATATGCTATCTCATAAATGGGTCACAGAATACCCATTTACAACTTTCTGTGGCTTTTGTTTATAAATACATATATATATATATATATATAGGAATATGTATACTATATAGACTTCCATTAGAGTCATTATCTTTTTTTGTTTTTTTCCATGATCAGATTAAATAATACACGTCTAGAGATTAATGAAAAACTAATGTATGCAACGTTGCACATATCTATGTTGCATATTCTTCTTTTCTTATTGTTTTCTTCAGTATAAATTTATTTATTTATTTATTTTTGCTTTTCTGTCACCTGTTTAAGATGAATAAAATAAATCGATGTCTTTCAATTTAAAATACATAAGTATTATGATGAGAAGAAGAAAAAAAACAATCAATAATACAACTGACAATTAAGAAGAAAAATATATCGGTAAATGAAGCAGATGGAAGAGGAGAAAGAAAAAATATTTTCCAAGTAAATATTAATAATTCAACCAAACGCGTATATAATTAATTTGAGTGATGACAGATTTAGCCTTGATAACTTTTTGAACATATTCTTAACATGTAATCAAAACATAAATGTAGGGATGTGTAGTCGAATTAATAATTCTATCGTTAATCAACAACTACAATATTATTTTTTTTTTTCAGCAACATTCTGTTTAAGATCAAAAAGTTACGTTAGACTTACAAAAATAACCTAACTTCCCTCCCATTATGTTGAAACTTGCATGTTATATTTGAGTGTTTGGATATTTCAATATCTCAGAACAGACATTCAAGGAGGAACAAATTACGATATTGTTGACATATCAATAACGAGCTGTGACGAAAGAAGCAATTTTTTTACTTACTAAGTTTGTCGCTTCAAAATAAATATGACAATTATACATTAATAATTGAAGAAGAAAAACATAAGTGTATGGTTATCGTATGTTTACAAAATGTAGAAATACCATACCTTTTCTTTCTAATATAAAGAAAGAAAAAATTTGTTTATTTTTTATTTTTTTCATATAAAAAATCTAGAAAAATAGAAATAAAATTTACAACATCTTCGTTGATGTTATAGATCATCCCTATAAACGATAATGATGATATATGCAAACGATAAAAATAAGATCCTATTTTCTCTTTCTTCTTTTTTTGCATACATATTATTTATTTTTTCTTCTTCTGGTACAACAAAAACAACATGCACGACGTGAATAGGTATTTCTTATTTCTGTTGTTTTTGTCATGACATTCAGTACAAATGCGTGAAGTGTGCAGTAAAGTCGATTCAACATAATTGAAGACAGATTTAATTAATCGAATAAGTTAAAGTTTTATCGTAAAAAACATTCACGTCTGTCATAGATAACTATAATCCAAAATCGACAATGATTCGACTCATGCCCGAATATAGATTTCTAAAAATTTAGTGTTTTTCATGAGTTAATCAGTCATATCGACACTATCGAACAAAGAAAGAGAAATGATTGTTCGAACCATAACAATATAATTAATCTTTATCGATATAAAATGAGAAATGTGGGATAGTTCGTGCATTCTTTATATCAGATTAATAATTAATCACAACCGCATTTGTGATCTCGATGAAACGTAGCTTGTTTTAGACATATTAACATTTTCTATAATTGTTTTATGAAAACAATCATTACAACATGCGTATATAGTTCTTGTAAATTTGTTTCATCGAATTTGGATGTAAAACTTTCGATTGTAAAGGATTTGCATGATCTTATAGCAATATCTGAGTAAAAATTGTACGATGTTCCATCATCAATAAAATTTCACAACGAATTCATTCAGAAGAGTTGATTTCAAACTGACATCAGCAAAATGAGTATCTAATATGATTCTTAGTGGTACGAATAATATGAAAAATGGTATTATAATCAATATTTTTTCGTTCCATACAGAATTGCAATTATCAGAAGGGTGCACATCCCCCTAATAATTGAAAAAGGTATTGTTATTTTATCGATTATTCCTTGCACAAACTATTTTTTATCAATTTTACACTACCTCAGAGCGATAATTCTTTTCACACATCCCTAATATTTGACTCCTATTTGCGGTCCTGGTTCTATAGTAGCGCTCGATGTTCGTCGAGGGAGAGTATACCTGAATGATGCAGATAAATCAACACTTTTCAGGTTAATATATTGATATGGGTGATTCACTGGAACTCAAATTTATGATATTAGCAAATATATTATATCAGTTATTGCCATTAAATTAATATGTAACATAATTATCGATAGAAATTCGAATTTGGTTTTCTCCATTAATGATAGTTGTTTTAATATCTGATTCATGGACAGATGAACACAACTATTTTCTTAAGGAAGGGTCCACACCCCCTCCATATTTTGACATAGTGTGGGCTATGACCTGAAGTATTTGATTGACACTTCTTATAATGCCTGAAATGCACAGTTTATGAGTAATTAAATAATTAACAATTAAATACAATCAAGATTTCGATTTCGATGATATTATAAAGTAATTCATTATATTTTACTGGAATATCCGATCAATATTATTGCAGAGTCATTTTGTAGACAATCTTTGGTTGTATATAATAAGTTTGAAAAGTCTTCCAACGACATAGGTTTTTTAAGTGAAACATTGTAAAAAAAGCGTTTTTTCTACTTTTAAGCATAAAAAGTAATTTTTGAAAATCTTCCTAGCGAATTCACGATAAGAATTTTCAAGAAAAAGTTTCGCTAGCGATCTTGTAACTGATGTCATTCGGCATGAGATAAGCGGAAGCGAGTGTCAATCAAACACTTCAGATCATAGCGCACACTATTTCGAAATATAGAGGGGGTGTGAAACTTTAGAACCTTAGAAATTGCTTCATACGTTCGGCAAAATAGTATAAGTATATATGTAATTAGGCATGCAACAGTTTTTTTTTCGTGTTTTTCAAAAAATGGTTTGTATTTTCGCAACAATGAACGGTGAAATTTTCTGAAATCAGCAGTTTTGTAGAGCAAACATTTCTCTATAAGATGGCATATAATAGAAATCACTGTTTAACAGCTGTTTTTAACTGCTGGGTTATTCTATCAAAAACATTTTTTAAAGAAACCAAGCAACTTTAAAAATATCTATTATATACCATCTTGTAGAGAAATGTTTGCTCTACAAAACTGCTGATTTCACAAAATTTCAGAGTTCGTTGTTGCGAAAATACAAACCATTTTTTTGAAAAATATCAAAACAAAAACTATTGCATGCCTATATGCAATTCGAAATTCTTTACAAACTGACATTATCGAAAAGTAATTTTTTAGATTTTAGATTCAAGCTTCCAGAGATCTTGAACTCGAATCAGATTTCAGGTGTGAAAAAATTATTAAAAAAATGTCATAGTACCAGTTTGTGAGAAAAAACTGAACTAATTATTACGGATTGTTAAAGAATGAATAATGAATTTATAACATTCTTATTAATCTTAATTACATGGTCATGGCAGTAATGGTTTTCTGTCTTGCCGGTAACAAAATCTAATGAAAAAGCTAGAAAAGAATATAACAAGTATCAGGTATTCGTAAGAAAAATATTCTTGATCAATATTATGATATTTTAGGACTAAATACACAGATGAAATATTGTGTTCTAATAAGTAATATCACTGAGAGAAAAATTTATGTCACGCTGAAAAAGTTATCTACAATCTAGTTTCTGTAAACAAACATTTATTTTAGTATGACTTTAGGAATTTTTAATACAGCCAAATACTATAGATAATATCTCGAAGATTTTGTCATTTTCAACCTTTCTAAATTATTTGATATTATCATTTAGCATTGTTTGGCTTAGAATTGTGTGAAATTTTTGCTTCAAAGTATTTATATGTTTTGAATAAATTGTTTTAGACAAAGACTTACCGTTTTAGATTAATTTTTTTCTGCTATTGGATTTTAGTCTTCTAACGTCACTATAATTGGAAAGTGTTCGTTAAACTCTTTGCACTTACTGTTTTTGTCTTAAAAATACGTTTTATTCAAAGACAAAAGACAAATTTTATAAGGGTAGAAAACAAAAACGATCAAATATAAATGTACAAATAATTAATATTTTTTGAAAACAAAAAAGCAAACAAAAAATGCTAATCTATCAGTAAAAAATGGATAAAAACAATAATATTGTTTAGTAATATAGAATTGAGCAAAACTGAATTGTCATGAGATACAATAAGATGATACACAACCAAAAAATGTACCAAAATCGAGATCATCTCTAGAGAAATAATAAAAAAGTAATTATTCTGGCAAGAGTGTCTTAGAATCATAAAATCAATTGAGAAATAAGAATATAGGAACAAAACGATCAATAGTGATCAGTATTTCAAAAGAAAATTAAAATAAGAACGTCAAAAGTTATACAAAATGTATCGACGGTCATGAATATTTTAACGTAAGAAAAAAAACCATCTTACTACCAAAATTTAAGCGGTAACAATATTCTCCTTTTTGATAAAAGAAACATTCTCATTCCATGAAAAAAGTTGAAAAAGAATGGACAAGATAGAACATTGCACAAAAACAAAGAAAAAAAAAAAGCATTCGATTGATAACAAAATACGACTCAATCTTATTTTACGTTTTCATTCGTCTGTCAAACAAATAGAAATCATTTATGTTCACAGATAAACATCACATTCTCAATTATTCATTTAATTACCATCCTCATTTTGATTTTGTTTTGTTTGTGTAAAAAATTTTAATTTTTGTGTAAATGTCATTGTTTCATTGACATTCTCTTTATTATCTTGTACAAGTGATTGTTTTTCCTTTTTTGCACGCGTACGTGGATCAATATAATACTCTTGTGCACCAATAACACTAGGAATATTTGTTGTTGAATCATAATTAAATAGATTATCACGTCGAACTAGTTCAGCAGTGATATGTTCAACAGCATCTAATGAAGATACTGGAATTTCAACGACATGATTATCAATAGTCATTTGTTGTAAACTTTGATCAGAAATGTGAGGAGGTGGTGGCGGCATCGGAGGACTCAATTCACAATGTAATGGATGATCTCGTCCACTAGAAGAGAGAAAAAATTAAAGAATGTTAGTAGACGAATATGAAAAAAAGGATAAATCATTCAGAGTATGCTCAATGTGCTACATAAATTAGACAGTCACAAATGAATAGAAGAATATTAGGGTTAAGTGATAAACGAGTGAAATCTTCTGTTGTTCCCTTGAGCCGTATGATGTTCCCATGAATTTAACCAATGTTCTGGAAATTAAATTGTATCCGCTTTAGTACAAGATAGGATTAATGCAAACATTAGGGATCCAATGTAAAATAAGAAAGACAAACGTCTTACTTTTGAAGATATTGTGCTGATGATAACTGTGTCGACGATCGTTGTAAGAAAGTATTTTTCAAATTACTTGCAACAGCAAATGAGACATCGCGAGTTGGAGGTGGTGGTGGAGGAGAGGGAGAGATAGCTAGTTTTTCTGTCGAAACTAAAACAATACAAAAACAGCCATTTTTTAACGAAGATTTCTTTCACTTTCCTTCTTTTACTTTTATTTGTCAACGGCTTTTGTTGTTGATCCATTTGATATTGTGCACGATTGACAACTGTAGCCAATGAATCGTTTGTTTTGACTGATGAGGTTGTTGTGATATAAGGTGAAGCTGATCCTGCTGTATGTGAAATGTTATTAGCTGATGTTGAGTGTTTCATTGCAGGTTCATGATCGTGTAATGAGGGAGGAGAACCAGGTAAACGCTTAAAAATATGATAATATATATGTGTGCTCAAACCAGGACAAAAAAATATGCTAACGTACCACATGTTTTGATAATCGAGCTTGTTCTTTTTTTGCTTCTAACGAACGTTCTTCTTCTGACATACGTTTCAGTTTTAAATCACGCATATCACGATCAACACGTACTTGTCGATCCTAAAAAATCCAAATTACTCTTAGAAACACAGTTACATTCAAATTAAAATAATATTTTTGTGCCTACTCGATCACGGCGTAGATGAGCTTCAATATCAGCTTCTTTTCTTTCTTGTAATTTTGTCATTATTTGCCGTTGTACTTGTCGCTCTTGTTCAAATTGTTCTAAGCGACGCTTCAATCTAAAATACAAGAATTGATATGAGACAAATAATAGGCCAGTTTTTTCTTATCCTACTTTTCATCAAATTCATTCATTTCATTTGTCATTGATAATTTTCCCGTTTGGTTAGTATTTAACGGCGTTTGTGGTAAAATAGAAGTCGAAACAAATGGTTTTATCGACGGAATATAATGTCCATCATTAGTATTAGGATTACTCAGAACAGCCTGCTAAAAAGAAATGAAAGAATATTCAGAGCATAGATATGAATACGAGAAGCTCTGTAATGTAGAGTCTTGCGTAGCAGCAGGACAGACAGGCTCAAGACAAAAAATAACTTTACGGGCTTGGGACAAGAAAAGAATTTCACGAAGTCGGGACAAGTGGCAGAAAAATGTTATCTCGTAAGTTTTGTCTTTTGACTATAATTATGCTGCAACTTCAAATGTTTAATTCTTGTAATACATCAAATCAAAACCGTAATTTTACAATAGCTAATAAAAATTAATCCGGAGAGGCGAAATAGTCTGGATTTAAACTTGAGAAGATGTTTTATATCTAAAACTCGGTTTGCATTTCATTTCTTTCGATTCTGAGGTAGTGAGTGGATGTAAAACATTTTTTTTATACAACAAATTTTAAGTTTAGAATCGAATAAATTAGGCTTAAATTTTGTCACGCGAATTTGGCAAAAATAAGTTTAAGACTTTAAGCGTCTCTTGTACCAGTTACGATTTATCTCAACAGAAAAAAAATTTTCAAAAAATTACGGTACAATAAAGCCCGTAAATATTTTCCACGAGACAGACGGGTTCAAGACACCATTATTTGCTCACGGGCTCGGCTTACGGGACTGGACAAAAAATATTTATGTTCGGACTCAGGCTTACGGGCTCGAAGCAGCAGAAAAGTTTGTCCCGCAGGACTCTACTGTAATGTACTTCTTTCAAGTGACAACAAGAGAAGCTAGTTAATTCTTTTTAATATAATATATGTTCTCTACACTCAACTTACCGATGCATAATCAAATTCTTCGTCTGAATCACCATGAAAATGAAATTCTTCTACACGTCGATCGAATTCGGATTCTAATTTTAAATTACTATAAAAAAACAACGATGATTTATAGGTCGATTAGTTAATCGCTAGAAAATTACACAACCTTAATTCTTTGTCTTCTTGTTCCGTTCGGTCATGTTTATTTTGTAAATCATTAATACGGTTCAGTCGATATTCAGTTATTTTCTGTCGATGACTATTACCATGAGTATTATTAGTCAAATTCGATTTTGATTTTGTTTGTGTTAAACTTAATAAAGGTGATAATGATAAAGGCGCTGATATATGTTGATTTTGTACAGATTGATGATCATCATGAAGAGCAAATCGCGTATTAGTCGAATTTCGTGATGATGGGTGTTGAAAAAATGTTTGATCGCTATTGTTCACAGGACCTTTCCTAAAATAAATTGAACACAAAAAATCAAAAAAAATCTCCATGCAAGTATTTCGTCATATACCATTCTGAGTCATATTTTGTATTATTATTATTATTATAATTAGAGTGGTTCGTTAAACAAGCCAACTGGTCAGAAGATGTTGATAATGTTGTTTTTGATTGCTTACCAGCTACGTCGACATCACTGACCTGTGATTAGTAAAAATCAGTCAGTAGCACATATAGAATAAACCATTCCGTTTGCTAATCTACTTACAGAGTTACTTAGTTTTATTGTCGGTACATTTGTTGTTTTTGTATTTGGCTTTGGTGCTAACGTTGGTCGTTGATTGGCTGTAGCTGGTACATTACTATGATGATTTATAATCGGCACCACTTTTGAGTGACGCATTCCATTAGTAAGTGGAGAAATTTGTTGTTGATGTTGTTGACCATTATCTTGTGTGTACTGATTTGATTTAGGCATGTGATGTGCATTTACATGTAACGGTTGATGTTTGAAACTATTGTAGTTATCATCTTCGTCATCATCTTCGTATTGACGAAACGGATAGCGATGATTATTGAATGTTTCCTTTGTGTTTTCGCCAAATGATTGCCGTTCACTTGCCAGACGAACAAATGCTCCAACTGCGGGTTGTTCCTCTTCATCACTTTCTTCTTCATCTTCTGGTTGTTGTTCTGATTTCGGTATATCAAATGTTTGATTTTTGTTAAATAATGTTTTATATTCTATGTCTAAATTTGGATTTGAATGGCGTTGATGACTCATAATGTTGTCTTGATTTTCATCTTCGTCAATTAATGCCTGCACAGAACGAGCTGCTTGAATTGAACGTTGGTGATTGTTATATCCTTGTTGTTGTGGCGGCGGCTGATTTAAACTTTTAGCATTATAAACATATTCATATGAATTATTTTGCTGTGGGCGAATAGGTGGTTGGAGTTGATGTTGAACAGTTGAAGAAGAATTTGCCATTTGATTGAGTAGAGCGTTTGTAGACGATGAACGAACAGTGGGTTGTAAAGTATTCATCATATGATGATCTGGCGTTGCAAACGGATGAGGATAATGATTGTTATCAACAAGTAATCGCTCATGACTTGATGTTGCTTTTAGAATTGATGGAACTACCGATAATGTAGCACGTTGGTTCGGTGGTGTAGTGGTAGTTGAAAATCGGGTACCTAACATTTGAAAAAACATTATCATACACTAGATTCTGGTATATCAAATGACATTGTAATTTATTACCTGCTTGATGATTATCGGGTACCGATTTTGTTAATAAAGCTGATAAGCCTTGATGATATGCAGCATCTTTCAATACTTTTAACGTAACAGTAGGCCCACATTGTTTTAGGGCATCAGCAGCTCTAAATGTATTTAAAAATTAATATTAAAATGACTAGAACAACTCAATTTAGGATGTATTTTCGTATCTCACAAGGAGTTTTAGGGAAACAACAATGTTCATACCACTAGCAACAAACTCTAGCATAAGTCTCTTTTTTATATTTTCGTTGTTTTAAAATAGTCTTTCAGTCGATTTAGAGGCAAAAGTTAAAGTATATGATAGATGTTGTAACAGCAACTAATGTGAATCTCATCTTAATTTTATTTGTTTATTTCGCCGTTTGGACAAAAGAATTTGTCATTTTTAAGAGAAATAACAATTTTATCTTCCTTGAAAATGACAAATTCTTTTGTCCAAACGGCGAAATAAACAAATAAAATTAAGATGAGAATCAAATTACCTGCTGTTACAATATCTATCATATCTGAAATAGTCTTCATGTGCTCCTCTTACAACTTTAACAAAGACTCACTACATCATTCTAGCTATTATCGCTGTCTTACTGATCTTGTGTGACATCGATAAGAAGAACATTATCAACTTGAATAATTTGATCCCCAGCTTGTAAACGGCTATCTTCTTCAGCAGCACCACCGGGTACTAGAAATTGAATCAAAAGATAGCATACGAACATAAGTAACACAAACATTTATCATACCAATAGCTTTAATGTAAATGCCTTGAAATTGTTGATTTTCACCCTTAAACGGCAGTACAGTATAATTTGTTAATAAAATAGAAAAGCTCTAAGGACATCTTACTTTAGCTGCTACGATACTCAAGCCCAAACTATTATTTTTTTTATTCATCATTATTGTTTGAATAGTACTATTATCATACTGCACTTGACCATTACCATTCATTGATCGAAGATGATGCGACTGTGGCAGATATTCATCATCATTCTGAAAGTAGAAAACTTCTATAACACATAAATAAATAACAAAGCGAAGAAAATCTTACATGAACTGGTAGTGGTTTCATAAATTCAGTCCACAAACCAAAACTATGCGGATTTGTGAATAATCGACATATACCATCTCTACTCATCGGTTCGATGAATTCAAATAACGGCTGAGGAATCGAACGAATCGTATCGCAAGTGTAACCGTCTTCGGGTAATAAAAATGGTAAATTGAGTTTTGGATCCTCATGTAAATGAATCGGTACACCTTCTCGACACAAAGTGTCATCGACGAATTTCCGTGCAGCAGATAAAACTCTAAAGGAAAGAAAGAATAGATAACAAAAGAGTTATAAAGAAATCTTATACATACGCTTGAGTAAAACTTGTAGATATCTGTGGTTCATTTCTGTTCCGTATATAATTATCCAAAACTTGTTTAATTTGCTTTGAATTTAATTTTAATGATACATTTGCCAATAAACTTGCATCGTTTTGATCACGCTTTGAATTTTGTAGTAATTGACATAACTGATTTACTTTTGTCAAGTGACAATCGGATGCCAATTCTAAACCTTGTCTCAATGCCCAGTCACTAATATGAGATAGGCGTGATGATAGTTTTTCACCCCAATAATGTGTACATAATTTCAACTCTGAATAACAAACAATTCGGTTAAACAACCAACAATTAATATAATGAAATATTAGTGAAAACATTTGAATTGTCAGAGCAGCATTTACACGACATTTACGCAATAAATCCATCACAGATGACAATGTAGCTAGAATGTCACCTAACGTAGCCAACGATATTGGATGTTCAGCAACATTATCATTCATTTCAACCATCCAACGAGAATCAGATAATTCTGGATTATTTGCACTGCTGTCTTCTAAAACGATATAAATCACTGAGTGTTTTACAAAAATAAAAGTAAAGTCGATCACTTTACCAAATGCAATGTAAACATCTCTTTCAACATCATCTTGTGGATTTGAGAAAGCACATAAATATTTTTCTAATTCAGTTTGTACTAATGTTGTTAAATGACGAAATAAACGTTGTACACATTCAGCTAAACGATCTTGAACATCATTAGATAGTCGAGATAAATCACGGTCTTGTTTAATAAAATTTAATAATTCAGATGTATTCGCTATCCAAAAGGCTAAATAACCACCATGCTCTCGGCATTCCTTGAAAGAAAAATAAATAAATAAGCATGATACTTGTTTTGTTCAAAAAGGGTAGAAGAAGTACTATTCATTTTAAATTAAAAAACCTGTGGCTATTTTCCAAATAACTTAAAAATGAAATGAGACGAAGTCATGTGGTTTTCACCATTCGAAAGCAGACATCTGAGAGTATCCTGTCATAAACAGAAACGTTTTGAAAAAAATTTCAAAAACCGATTTTCGAGATCTTTGGAAACTATTTCACAAATCCAAAAATAAAAATAGAAAAGTATTGATTTTTTTCATGGATCGATAGTCCAAAGTGTCCTCTACAAAACAGAAACTAAGAGATCTCTCAATCTTTCGTGGTTTAGGCACGGCATCGGATTTCTTCGAAGCCCAAGGATCGATATTTTCTTAGGCGTAGAAATCTCAAAAATAGGAGACATACATTATCGACCACACCGAGTCTCGTGGTAACGTTTATTTTTTGAAAAAATCCGGAAACCAAGTGAAAACCTATATAAGATGGAATATCCTATTTTCGCCGAAAATTAGAAAATTCATAACTCATTCAAAATCGATGTAAACTACATCAGAATATCAAGATGAACTCTCTTTTATTTGCACTATATTATAGACTTCAACAGAGTTTCTGAAAAGCCACTGAGAATGCCTTGGTTTTTGACAAGATTTTTTTTAGAAACTTCAAAAGTAAAAGAAAATTTTTTACTAATTTTAAGCACAGAATTCGATTGAACAGATAAAATAGAGTGCATCTTAATATTCTGATGTAGCCCACATCGACTTTGAGTGAGTTATGAATTTGCTAATTTTCGGTGAAAATAGGCAAAATTGGATATTTTTGTATAGACTACATAACTGAGCCTTATTTCATTTTGAAATTATTCAAAAAATAGCCACCGGTCTTTTAATTTGAAATGGATAGTAGTTTTGTAGCCTAGTAAGCCACTCAATGTTCATTTCTCTTACTTCAATTTTTCTACTAATCATATTTTCGATTTTATACAATAATGATACAATACTATCTTGTTTATGATTAACTGGTATATTTGTTTTACTACCATATGGTGATAAACGATGTCTCAAAGACATATATAAACAATAAACGGGTGATAAACGAAAACCAATATTTAATAGATTACGATTTTCAAATATTGAATGAAGAAAACGTGTTTCGGCTACAATAAAGAAAAAAGAGATAGTATATCTGTTTTAAATTCCACAATAACAAACGTACTCTCGATAGGAACTTCTAATAAACCCGGTAAAACATCAATCAAATGTCTAAAAACAATAAAACAGAGACAACTCATTCAAATGTATGAAACAGTAAATGTTGATTCATCAGTATAGCATAGAATATTTTAGGGCCAAAAATATATTAGAAAGAAATGAAAAGGGAAAAAATACTCGGTGAACTTCGCAACGATAGACTTTATATCAATCGATCTTAACACATTACCCGCCATCAACCACATTTGTTGTTGAACTATGCGACGATTTCTTTAATTCTTTTGTGCGAAGTGCATCAATCGTATTCTTTTTCAATGCTAAAGTATCCTTCGGATATTGATTTTGCATATGTTGAGATTTGACACTGTAAATCTGTTGAGATTGGGTGTGTTGTGGCTGTTGAACTACGGCTGAAATTGCTGACATTGATCCATGTAATGGTGTAGAAATATCCATGTGCATTGGATCAACTACAGCTGATTTTGTATGACCGAAATGATGAGGATGATTTACATGCTTTTCGGTTGTCTATAAAAAGCTCAAGTTATATATTAATACCAGAAAAATGAATAACATACCTGCGAAGCGACAAAGTTTCGTTGTTGTTGCGAAGCATTTGTCGTTGTCCTCATATTTGATTTATAAACGAATGCCGGGTCGAAATATCGAAATGCTGCTGCACGTCCAAAACAAATCATACATCCATGTTGTAATGCAAATGGTTGATTAATCAATTTTCCATTAAGCCATATTTCACCCTTAGGTGCCAATGTAACAGTACCATTCTGATTATGAATTGTACAATGATCACGATCAATACCAACACCATCGATCTAGTTGAAGAATAGAGAAATTTATGAATTCACATAGTCTTTCTGTCTGTCCCTGTGCCAGAAGGTAAAAGTGCTGGAATAATAAATCAAAAAGATCGGATTGTTGAAAACCTTACATAGAAATATTGTTTGCCAACATTTGTTTTTGAATCACGGCCAACATGTGTGGTATTAGGCGCAATTTTAAATACACGTGGTGTATTCACATCGGTACCGTCTATTAATGAAACAATGAGGATAATAAGTTGAGATTGTTCTATAAAATTCTGCCAATATGAACTAACCGGTATTAATTTCAATAAAAAATGGTAGCTGATCGTTAATGGTACGATCATGTAATGAAGATTGTGCATCAAACGTTTCTTGTCCTCTCATTTTTTTTCTAATGTTGACAAATTCTGGTGGACACTTAATAACTTTAAACATGATTGAGCCTAAAAAATAAAGAAAGTCTTATTTTTAATAACGTTTCATGATTTATTTTAAACCTTCTGATTTTTGGGCATGATTTAAACATATGTTCAATGGACATTCTTTATCGTGTAAAATAACTTCTTCAACAGTTTTATTATCAATTTGGTCTCGTGGTGGCACAACAATCTAGAAACAAATGCGAATGTATTTTTACGCTTAGTTTATCTAATCAGATAACATACAGATAAACATACCTGTAATAGACAATAATTTTCTGGATCTTCATTTCTCATTCCATATTTTTCCAACATTTCTTTAACAAGCCATTCAGCTGTATCTTTAATTGATAATAAAAATGTTTTATATGGTATCGATGGATTTAATGCATCACCAAAGACTTTCATTGTTCCACCTTAAATTTTGAAACAGCAAATTGAATTTGTTGATTGCAAAAGCATGAAAACTCTATTTACCTCCTTCTTTTGTACTTATTTTCAGAAATTTTTGTTTCAAACGATCTTGTTGAATCTTTTTCACCATTTCTGGATTCGATAATGAACGTGTAAATTTATTTGTTTCTGGCACAGATTTATACAATGATTCAGCCACGGAAGCAAGCGGTGCCGTTTCGTCACTAGCATCTGTCTGCAAAAAAAAAATTTCTTTTTACTACAGTTTGGCAGCAATAGAATATACTCAATTGGAAAAAAATAAGAAGCTAAACTAGAATATAAAATCATTATTTTCTTTCTCTACTGGAAGCGACAACGTTTTTACGAACAAAAAGCATACTTATCTAGACCGAAGCAAAAAATAAATTAATAAAAAAAGGCTCAAATGAGTCGACAACTAATTTAGACAAAAGCTAAGACAAAATAAATTTTTTCTAAAGCCAGACAATGGAAGCATCTTTTTTGTTTTCTTTTGCTCAAATCATACCTTTTACATGTAATAAATAGTAAGTGATACTAGAACGAATTCCAGAAAAATAATTTCCCTGGTGTACACTATTGAAAATAAAATGAGCTTACCTTTGTTTTACTTTTTTTCTTCGAATCGCGTTTCGAACTTCTTCGTTCTTTAAAACTTCCTCCGGCAGGCTTTGATTTCTGAAAAAGAGTCAAATATGTTTATCTAAGCTTATGTAATTTTATATTTTGGTCAAACCTGTCCAATTTTTGCATTTTGTAGCACAAAACGTCCTTCACGCTGATCTTTACCCCATGTTAACTGAACGCATAGTGGCCGGTCATCGCTGTTCAACTTTCTTTCTTCTGAAAACAGAAGAAGAAATAATCAATTTCTTAACAGAATACTATTTTTAACCCAATATTTTTACCGCCATTTGGATGGACTTCATAAATACAATAATCATTTTCATTTGGTAATGTTTTCATATCCGGACGCAATTTTTCAATTAAAACTTTGACAACATCCACGGTTGTCGCTGAACTAGCTACACGGATACATTTTGTTGTTACTTTATCTTCAGCATCTTGAAAATAAAAACGCATAACGCCATAAAAATCCAATGCCTAGAATGAGCAAAATAATAATATAGAACTGAAACGGATGAGTAGCATCCAGTTATTAATAACAAACTTCATTTGGTTCACTAATTTTGAACAAATCCAACCGTGTACTATTCCACTCATTAATTAGCTGCACAATTTCAAAGCGATCTTTCATACTCATCTTTTTTTCATCTAGAAAATTGAAAGAGTACAATAAAACATGCAAAACTTTTATCGTCGTCTAGAACCATTTTCAGATGCGTGAAAGACCTAGTTCAAAGTGTTCAGCCATTTCTAGGAATTATTATTAATGAAAATCATTCAGACATTTATTGAATAAAGAATGTGATTAACCAAATTCTTATGAAGATCACTGGTATCATTTTATTCTTCATTAATTCTTCTATAAAGGAATTATGCACAATTAGTTCGCTCAAATTGGGATTTTCAAGAAGTCACTTTCACCTGCACTGTACATCTTATTCTAATTTTGTTTTCTTACACCTTCGATGAAGGCTCAAAAGCTTTTTATCAAATGTACTACAAAACAAAATTAGGATAAGATGAGATGTGTAGGTGAATGCACTTCATTAATTATTCTAACAACGAGCCAGGAGACAATGCACGTCAAAAGGTTAATGAGAGTATACGGCATTGGCCGTACAAGCACTAATGAAAAATCATTACAGTGTTCTCTTTATTGTTCCGAGACAGACAAAAGCAGGAAAGAGAATTTTTAACTTGTTCATTCAAAATCTTCGCTCTATCTTGAAATTTGCTCTAACAGACCTCTTCTGTTTCGTACGAAAGATGTTTCTTCCTTAACGTCATTCAAAATACGTTGACACTCGCGATTGTGAAACGAAAAATCATCGGACACCAACCTTGCTCGCTTCCTTGTCCAATCACCACGTGATCCAGCAACTTTGATACCGATGGCAATTCTATTTGTTTTTCAGTGAACCAAACCGAAATGTCAGTGGTTGCCAGTAAATGCTTCCGCACGGTTCTGTTCACATATACAAGACTAACACCCGCTGTGTAACAATATCACGCTAAAAGCATACGAGGGAAATCCTAAACGATTTTATAGTACAAACAATTTTCACAACATGTTTTTAACATGTAATTTTCTTAGAGATCTGCATCAGCTGCTCAGCATCTGCATTTACGAAGTGCAATAATCGAGAGTAATGTATAACATGAACGAACATAGACAAAAAGTGTCCATGCAGATCTTGAACTTCTATGCTTTGAGCACGACATCGTCATACATATCGGGTGGCCCAGATAAAATCGGACACTTTCATTCGTTGTTCATGAGGCATTGTCCGGCAGTCCACAGAGTTGGTTCTAAGCTCAATCGATAGAGAATTGAATTCTCTACAAAACTTGCTATTTAAATCTCTGATAACAGTTTTGTCGTTTGAGCACTATTGAAAATATTGAAGAGGGCTGAGTTTCCAGAAAGCCCAAGCAGTCANAGGGCTGAGCTGCCTGACTGCGATCGCAGTCAGGCAACTCAGCCCTCTTCACTTGTCTATCTAAGTCTATCTAAAGTCCTTTTAACATTTTGTGCTCTATCGATCTCACTTCTTTACAACTTCATACAATGTTTCTCCTACGCCAGCTAAACTTACAATTAGTTCTCAACCGATTTTTCAATTTTTTCAAATTAAATTAATTTTTTTAATTAATCGTTTCAATTGAGAAACTTTGTTTAAATATGAAACGATGCCGAATTTAAGTCTGCGTAAGAAAATAAGACTAAAACCCTGGATTCACAATATTTTACTGCTTTTATAGGCCAAAAACTAAATTCTGTGAAAAAAAGGTTCAAAACTTAGGTTTTATTGGATTTGTCAGGTTTTTGCCCAGAGAAATTTTCTTTGAAGACTTAACTGTAAAATTTCAAAAAATATGTGAGAAGATGCAGAATTTTCCGGTAAATCTTCTGGTGTTTTCAAAATTCTTATGAAATCTGTTTTTGGATCAAGACAAATATTTTTCTATTTTCAGTGTGTCGTAGTCAGGCAACTCAGCACTCTTCAATATTATGAATAGTGCACAAACGACAAAACTGTTATCAGAGATTTAAATAGCAAGTTTTGTAGAGAATTCAATTCTCTATCGATTGAGCTTAGAACCAACTCTGTGGGCTACCGGACAATGCCTCATGAACAACGAATGAAAGTATCCGGGCCACTCGATAGTACTAAATTTTGAGCAAATTAAACAAGGGAGAAAAGGCGACTTTTTCTTTCTTAGCATCGTAGGGCATCCCTCAGCATCGGATGATGAGCATCTCAAGCATCGGAAAGCGTTTCAACGGCTCCGGAAAGCTCCCGGGGCCGCCTTTTTTCCCCTTGAAATTATACCTCAACTTTTACTTTATTTTTACATCTCTATGACAGCAACAGAATATGTACAACTTGTTTACACGGGTATTAAATTCTATTAAAAATACTGGTCAAAAGTGTGTTATCTTGGCCGGATGAATGGCGCTCCATCGGAAATTATCATCATAGAGAAAAGCTTCAGACAGCAGCCCTCCCGAAACATTCATTCGATAGGTTAAGATCTGAATTTTTCCACCTATGAACTGCTGGATGTCTCTAAAGGTTTATGCGTGAAAACTGTGTTCTTTGTTATTAAGAAAAAGTCTTTTGTACATATGAGTACTCTTGTATGTGAGTAGTACTGTTCAATCGTTCAAAGAGCTCAACTGAGGAGCAAAGAAAATACTAGGAGACTCTAAACTTCAATACACGGAGCACATGAAATAGTATGAATTGCATGAGTAAGAGCGAAACTAGAAACCGGCGAACAGAGGTAATCGCAAAAATACGTTCAGAGTCTAAATACATCACCAACAATTCAACAAAAATTTGTTTAGTCAACTAGGTGAAAAATGTATCCGTGTAGCTAGTTCAGCGACAACCGTAAAAATTTTTTTGTCAACTAGGTACAGTATAATCTTTTCCATGTAAAGATGAACAACATTTACCGCTATAGTAAAGATGAACAGAAAGAAACTTTTGTTCTCTTCTGTTTGTGTGTCCACACCTGTGTAATTAACTACACATGTGTTCATCGCCCTTTGCGAAAAAGAGGGAAAGGAACCAAAACATAACGTAAAAAATCGATACAATTTAAGTTTTGGACGTATTTCTCGATTTCTCCATTCGCAGTTTCTAGTTTCGCTCTTACTCAGGCATACGGAACAGTTTAGACCTTCGCTTGATTCGTGTCAGAACTGCAACTTACATTATCAAGGCGTCTATCTAAAGTCCTGACGTCTAAAAACAACAGTATAATTATCATCAATCATAGTCGATATGGCATCTCAAAAACGATAATTTATTTGAGATAGTGCTTCCAAAATTTGAGATAGTGCTTCCAAAAAAAACGTGTAATTACAGAAGAACTATACATGATCTTATTTTGCCATAATACAATGGATACTAAAATTGGGCATACTCTCGCAAAAAACATTTTGTGATCGCTTATTCTTTTCTACAGTAAATAATAGGATAACTCGTTCTACCACTGAATACAGTCATATCTAGTCTTTATCCATGATTAATCGTAGGTTTTTATCTAATGTTCTCCATATACATGATTAGCCTTTTATGTATACCATTCAAAAAAGCAAATATTTGACTACATGTTGAAAGAAGAAGTTTTAAAAAATAAGCGTCAGGTTTGAAATTTCAAAAAGACTTGATTTCTCACTTTGAAATTGAACAAAAATCATTTTCAAATACATCGTTTGAAAAGGCAGAAGAAACTGATTAAACAATGATTAAAAATTTTGTTCATTGTCACTCATGAATGTGTAATTAATTCCTCTTCATTTATATTTCGTATTTGTTTTTTCTCATTATCAGATATGATAATATTATGTCATTGTTGACTTTTGTTTTACTAAACTTACAGTCGAAAAGACGAAGGCATAAGAAATATTTGGTACATAACTGAAGAATGGTGAAGAGAAGGAGTAGATTGTTACCGAGTAGGCTGAAGTTTAACCGAGAGAAATAATATTTAGGCAAATAGTCCCGTTTCATGTCCGGTTTACACCTGAGAAATTTTCGAACTGTATCATGGCGACTAAATTGATAAATAACGTTTCGTCTGAGGAAGTCCTTTCGTCTAACAAAATTTAATCGACTGAGGCAGAAGCAAAGTTTTTTAAAATTCTTAACATGCATGACTGTTCTTTCTATTAGAAAAAACGCAACTGCAACCATTAAGAAGATTTCCGGTATAACAATTTCATCGGAAATCAAGTTTATACATTTACCACTAATTGCTCAAATTTAGTTTGAACTCTGCTATTAATTTGATTTGTCTGTTTAGATTAATGTTAAAAAATACGGTTAGCCTTATCACTGGTGCAAGCAGCGGAATTGGCCGTTCCGTGGCACATTTATTTGCTTCTGAACAAAGTCAAGTGTGTGCAGTCGATATAAACAACAATGGACTTGATTCTCATCATTATACATTTGTTACCGATATTTGTAAACGGGATAATGTTATCAAACTAGCTGATGATATATTTGAAAAATTAAAAAGACATCCAACTATTATTGTAAATGCGGCTGGTATCACACGTGATTCATTATTCCATAAAATGAAAGAACAAGATTTTGATGATGTTATTAATGTCAATTTGAAAGGAACATTTTTAATAAATCAAATATTTTGTCAAAAATTACTTGAACAACAACAATTTCAACAGACGATAATGGATGTTAGCATTATTAATATCGCCAGTATAGTGGGAAAGCACGGAAATATTGGACAATGTAATTATTCCGCTTCTAAAGCAGGCGTGGAAGCAATGACAAAATCAATGGCAAAAGAAATTTCTAAGTTTGGTATACGATGTAATACGATATTGCCAGGTTTTATCCAAACACCAATGACAGATAAAATACCGGAAAAAATTAGAGAACGAGTAAAAACGACTATTGGAATGCAAAGATTTGGACAACCAGAAGAAATAGCCAGTGTCTGTTTATTTCTTGCTTCCAAAGCAAGTAGTTATGTAAATGGAGCAAGTATTGAAGTTACTGGTGGTCTCTGATCAAGTTATTCTTTTGTTATGTTAATATTTCAAACAATCAGAGAATGGAAGTCTTAGAGAGTTTTCTGTACATGTTTTAAAAAAAAAGTTAAGCTTCTGTTGTTTATACTAATTGTAGTCATATTATGTTAGCCAGAAATATGCATAAATAATATGATAGAAAGTTTTGCCATAAAGTCACTCATGATCAGTTGTCTGAATCAAAGTCCATGGACAGATAAAAAACCATTTCGTTCTTCGTAATGGCGTAGTTTTCTAGTATAGCTTATTTTATCTTGTTATACGTAAAACATAACACTCAAACAATATCAGACATAATTGGCTTATTTATGCTTATGCAAAAAAAATGCTCAAACTGATATGGGATGAAGATAGATCTATAACGCTTCTGGTTCTCAACACTCTGTAGTTTGATTATGATCCACCTTTCGATACCTATCCTTTTGAGTGCCTCAATCGGGAACCAAAACGACGCAATCTTTCATTTTATTCTTTCTGTTATGAGAAGAATAAGAGTTTTTTTATAATTGCAGAATGGAGAGGTCATCAGGGATAATTTGATTCGCCTTGTTTTGTGCAAATAGGCATTGAGCTAATTCGAGACTGACGATTAATCATAAAATCAGTCAGCTTGCACAAGAAATATATGTGAATTGTTTCCCGCTAGTCGTCAGAACTCTATTAGAAAATAGCTAACCATGCGACAATACCATACTAAAAATGTGACAATTTTACGGTAAAAATTTGAACTCATATTTTACTATGCTAGGGGATATTGCTGCACGCTCGGCATAAGAGCGCCGCATTTTTGCTTCAGCTGTTTCAAAGAGAATTACTTTTAAAATAACTTGTGGAATTAATGCAGCAGTGTAAACGTTGGTCATCTTTTATAAGTATTTTGAGAATATTTCGACCTTTATGGTTATCTTCTGATCAAAAGTTACGTAAAATATTGATTAGAAAATATGTAAAGAAGATTGACTATTTCTAATCAAGGCGTATTAACAAAATCAAGGACCAAACGATTAGCCTTGAGAACAAGAAAGATAGACAATACTAATCAGTTGCGTGTTATACCGATTATGAACCAAAATCTGTGTTATGGTATAGAGACACAGGACACGGGTTTAAACTATGATTGTCGAACTATACAACTAGAAAAATACAAATTATTACTGGAAGAATTATTGGCTGTGAGAGCTATTGATATTGTGATGAATGGTACAGATCGATTTGCACCATTATATGTGTTATCGGAAGGAGTTGATAAAATCACGAACAATAGTTGATATCGGTTAGTGAAGTCTGCGCGACATTATTCGATATCGGTTAAGTTAATTTTACAGTAAAGAAGAATGTTGTGTAGCTTTTGATCAGAAGATGACCATAGAGGTCGAAATATTGTTAAAATACTTATAAAAAAATTATGTAAACTAACGTTTACAATTACGCAGTTTATTTAGAAACTATTGTCCATTAACAAAAATTAAACTGCTTTTCTTGTTTTATTATGTTTTATCGAATCAATTTTTCAAGGAGGAGAACCATTTTGCTCTCGCTTCACCCATCAATCCCTAGAAACCCTGCTCTTTTACCTAAGCTAAAAGACGATAACAACGATGAAAAGAAGATTTGTTTAAGTGCATCCAGTGCCGATCTGGTCATATTCCAAGTATGATCCTTTCTACATCACGTATTTCATAGATACTGCTTCTTCCTAATTCACAGGGTGAAGGCACTATCTTTAGACAAAAAACCAACAATACTCAAAAGCTAAGTAAATAAAAATAAATACAAAAAGACTTCAAGTACAAAAGAAATGACCACTAATATGGCTGTATTAATCTTGGAATATTTTAAGATAGAAAAACGAATTAAAAAAGCGCATCTAACTAAAAATAAAAACTAAAAAAGCGAATATAAATATAAGGCTAAGAAAAGAAAAGGTGGAAAGTTCTTTTACTTTTACTTATAGAAAAATCCAAGAAATAAGTTAAACTAAGGCGACAATTTGAAGAGATTATCCTCCACTTGAGTATCAAATTGATTGTTATCGAAATAAGTTCTAACAAAATGTTCAGTTACTACTTTTAAAAAGAAACTTTTCATAATATATATTTCTACCTAAAATCACAAACACGTTAAAAAACACAAAATAACAATAACAGTGTAAAAATCAGCGAACATACGTACTGCTGAATCGCGTAACTCTGCTACTGGCGTGTTAGTGCGTTATCGTTTTTATTCTTTTTGTTTATGTTACAATATTTGAAAGGAACATTGTAGACATTTGAGAGATGTCTTGTTTTGTAGCTAAGAATGTGTCTTTTAAAATCCACTCCGGGATCAATCTGGTTCACTCAATCGTGTTTGTGCTATAATCGAAATACCGGTATCTTCGAAAAAAATGAATTTGAATTTTCAACTTACTGTATTTTAGCAAATACAATCAAGTGAACCGAGTTATTATCAGAGTGGATTTTGAAAAGCATACTCGTGACTCACTCACCCTCCGGTAGCATAGTTACGCGATTCAGTCGCATACTTAGTGTTTTCAATGTTTCTTTTACTGCTTTTAAATATTTAGACATTTGACTTGAATATTCTATGTAATTCTAAAAGATAAAGTATGTAAGTGTTGGTGTGAAACTTTTTGGTCAAAACATCATCATTTTGATCTTTTTAGTTTCAACTGCCAGTCATTGCTGCAATTTCTGTTACACAACTTTAACGTTGAATTCATTTAAGTTTAGCAGATAATTCGGAGATTAATTCAAATGTTAATAAATTCTCAGTATACGATTTCGCGTATGAAGCAACACTTACATTCATGTTATTTTTAATTGATAATTCATTAGCTTCATACGTAATAAAAAACTTACTCTGTCGATTACGAGATTTTAAGCAATCGATTTCTCTTCTGATTCTTTAAACTCGTTAAAAAAATTTTGCAGTATGACGAGTGAATTTGTGTGTGTAAAAATAAGAATCATCAGCAGAAAGCATTTCGTCAAAAAATCTTAGATTATACTTATACATAGTATTGTAGTGATTTGCTGGGACATACCTCGATCCTCAGAGAAAAGTGGCGAACATTATCACGATGTTTCATGTTTTTTGGAAAGTGGCAGTTCCATATTTCGAAAGAACATTTTACTGGAGGTATAAGAAAAGATTTTAGAAAGTAGGATGCTGCTTATAAAATACTCTTGCTGGTTTATATAAAGCTATTTACAAAGTCTACATTGTAAATTATTGTAACAGTCATAGGGTAGTTTATCGAACCCATGTACTAAATAGAAAAAAGACGCATAGTTTACCGAAGAGATGGGACGCTTATTTTTACAAAAATTTGGTTAAATGCAGAAGAATATGAAAAAGAAATGTTTTTGCCAAACTCAAATTCAAATACTGGAATAAATTCGAGATATTTCTCTTTGTAGGAAGAGCGAGTGTCGAGCATCTGGGCAGCAATACCAACTTGAATTCGATATACAGTGTGTGTGTGTGTGTGTGTGTGTGGAACTTTCCTGGTTCGTACAAAACCTAAAAAAGGTTTAGAAATGGTTTCACTTCTTGAAACCCTTTTTAAGTTTCGTACGGCACATGTTTTTTCTGAGAGATATTCGGACACTGTAAGAAGCTTCTCTTTCGAGCTTATTATTTCTTAAAATAAAGGAGATAAGAATATTATTTTTTTACCGTAATATAGAGCGATATTTGCGCTACATTTCTGTCCACTTGAAAGAATTTTAACGATCTTCTAGATGAGCCTGTAATGAAACTTCTTTACAGTCAGTCAACTTTTGGAACGGAAAAAGTATTCAAACACTTTCTTTTCTCTATGGTTTTTGACATTTTTCAAGTAGCGACGGATTAGGAGTGGGACAGTTCCAGCTCCTGTAGTTCCTAAGAGCTGGTCGAAAGCTCTGGTTAATAGTTCAGTTCCTGTTGAACGCGAACTGGTTACCAGTTCTTTTCAAGAATTCAAAATAAAATAAAACCGATGTAGCTAGTTATATTGACTTGGTTTTGTCAATTAAACATACCATCTACATCTGATGCACTACACAAAGTCAATGTAAGTAGGTTCATCGATTTTATTTCAATTTTAATTTTTTGAAAACCGGTGCCAGTTCCCGTTCAAAAGAATTGAACTGGAACTGTCCCATCCCTACGATGGATCTTTCAAATATACCATTCGAAAGGGCAAAGTCTCAGCTTTCTAATGCAAAAAGAACGATTAAAAAAAGTACTGGCTGAAGGTCACAAAATTGAAAATTACGGATACCACCATGAAATTCAATTAAAACGCGCTCTTTGACCGTTAAACTTGATCAAAACTCAGTTCTAAATAGATACCATTAAGAAAAACTGCATCAAAAACAATTATTAAACATAAAAAAAAATTATTATCTCATTACTTCTCCCACAAAAATGAAACAGGCTTTGCTTTCTATTATCCACAGAATAAACGAAATTTTTTGAAACAAGATAAACATAGTATGTGTAACTCAGTTGTTCTTTAACTATTCAACTCAGAAAAAACAGCTCATTTTGTGCAGAATTTTGTGTTCTTTAAGCCTGGTAAGTCAAAAGAAAATTAGAGAAGAGATTTAAGGCAAAAAATGCAAAATATAATAGATGTCACCCAGAGATGAAGACTGTAGCAGTTAGAAAATCAATTAAAATGAGCAGGAGAAAAGTCTGTTAGTGCGTTTAATAATTGTTTTTGATGCAGTTTTTGACGCTCTTTCTAATGGTATATATTTAGAATTGGGTTTTGATCAAGTTTAACGGTCAAAGACCTGGTTTTCTAGAAAACCAGTTTTTCAGAAACTCTAAAATATAACCCGAACCTTTCTTAATGAGGCATTATTGTAACCCGCACATTTCTGATTGAAATGAGATATCTCCCAGCTTTGTACGATCTTTCTTTGCACAGTTGTAGAATTTAGTTAGAAATTCGCTGTATCTAACGGTAAAAAAATAATTTTATTATCTCCTTTATTTTAAGAGATAATAAGCTCGGAAGAGAAGCTTCTTACACATATTGTAGTTAGTGATGAGAAAGTCACTTGTCCTAATCACAGATCTCTAAGTTTAGATTAAGACTGAGTGGATTATTTTAAGATAAATACATCGTGATCTCAATAAGATATTATCCAGTTCTGGACATCATCGTCAGTCACATTTTTTATTTACAGACAATTATGATCTTTCGATTACTTAATCATCTCAGCAGCAACAGACTAAAGGCGTGTTCACTTGTTTTGTATATTCTAGATCATATTTCATAAAATGAGTTATGTAAATGTTTCTTCTCGTCGATCTTTCTCATATCATCCAATGAATTCTAATCAATCCATACGAACATCAACTCAACAACAACAAAAACTTATTTTGCCCAATTCATTGCCACAAGATTTGTTTAATATTTTTAAAAATTTAGTTCTATTCTTTTGTCGTCGTGTCATCTTTGCACCACCGAATACTAAAATAATTATTTATTTTTGTATGATATTTATTGGTAGTGTACTGAAAGATTTTAATCTCTCACCTCAAACATATTTAGCAAATAAACAAAATTTATTAAACTCATATTTTGCTAAATTAGGTTGGGGTTCGACAATCATGTTATTATCACTATTTGTTTATTTGACAAGTTTAATTTATACAAAAGGAAATTATAATTTAATTATGAAACATTTATTACGTTTACTTATTGCTATTGGTGTCTGGTATATAATAACATCATTATTTCAGTATATTGAATCGGTAGCTGGATATTGTAAACATTTGAAGTATTCAAAATCAAACAGACAAATATGTTTAAGGTAGAACATTTGTGATGCGAGACATTCTGATTATAACGAATTTCTTATGAAACATTTAGAGGAGAAAATAACATGCTTTTTTTTTAAAAAAGATTTCAAAATTGTATTAGAAACTGTGTACAGTTTTCTGAGTTTCTTTTTCTTTTTTTTAGCAGTGGCTATGAATGGCAAGAAGCTTATAATTTGAGTGATCATACATTTTTATTGATCTATTTACTATTAGTTGTTAATGAAGAAGTAAAATCATATGATGAAGGTTGGAAAAGATTAGAGTTATTATATGAACAAAATAGTGGAAAAGTAAAACAACAACAACAAAATATTGGTGATATATCATCGTCGACAAAATTTGATCATATTGATTCATTAAGATTTCGTAAGTTATCATTAACAATTAAATGTCTCTATATTTCTCTAGCTTTATTAACTATGCTATGGGAATTTATGTTATTATCAACAGCACTATATTTTCATCATATTGTGCATAAACTAGGTGCAGCACTATTAGCCGTTATTATGTGGTTTATTACTTATCGTTATTGGTATAAACAAAGAAGTGCCATATCAAACCCGTTTACACCATGTTTGCCGGGTGATGGGCTTTTAGCTTATTAAAAGAATAGCAATGCTGAGGAGTTCTTTTGTTCAGATAAAAAAATTTTTGTTTTGTCTCACGAATATTTTGACACCAGTTTTTTTAATACAGTGATTCTCAGCAATCAACGAAACTAAGCTTAAGACACTGCTCAGAAATGTCTTAAGTAAGTCACATTTTCTTATAGTCATGCTCTTCTGTTTTGGACGCATTTATTTTTTGCACAATAATGATAAAATTTTTAAATCCCCTGTGTGCTATCTCACTGATCTAGCTATATTTTTGTTTATTTTAACGGTCAATTTATTTTTCATTTATTTGTTAGACGCTCTTTTTTTCTATTTGTGTGTGTGTATTTTTGATGCTATTACTTTTGTATCATTTTTTTATAAAAAAATATAAATAAATATAAGGAAATGACCGTTGTTTTCAGAGCACTGATAGTAGTTCACGCATGTAAAAACTTGATGTAGTCGTCAATGTGTTACAGATGTTGTGATACTATCTCTATCAGTTCTATTTGAACTTACATTTATAGCAGCTTATAAAATCAGGTAAGATGATTAAACCATGAGAATATCAGGGATTATCAAAAAACACGGTAATGATAGTAGTGACGAAGATACACATTTAGATACTTTAGAGATTATCAATCAATATACACATTAACGGCATTCTCAAGATTACGCAAAGCGTATAAATCCTCAACAATGCAAAGTGTTTCAATTACAAAACTATAGTGGGATCAACAGTAAAAATCATGATCGGAAACAGATATAAAACAAAACTGGCACAAAAACAAGCAGATATATAATCAATAGCCAACTAAATCAGAAAACGAAGCACAATAGGATACTAAGAGTCTGACTTATTGCAAACTTTCGATAAATTGATTGATCATGAGCAGGAAAAAATATTATCTTTACACTAAAGAAAATCTCGCTAATACATCCATCACCTCGTTTTAAGCGTTTTGGAAAATAGTGAATGAGCCCATTTTCGCTCAACATTTAAAATAGGAAACTCTTGAAGCTTTTTGAAATATATTCTTTTTACAGTGTAGTCATAACTCCTACAATATTTAACCTTGAAATCTTGTGTGAATAGTATTCTTATGTAGGACAATGTTCTCCAAAACCGTTGTTCGATTTATTATCTCGGTTTAGAATCTATAAATGGCTTTCATGCGCTGATGCCCATAAAACTTCGCTTCATCAAAACACAATTAATTTTTTATCGCAATAAGTCGATGACCATTACATAATTAACCATTAAAGAAAGATTCTCACTAAAATGTATGTAAAATCTGAAAAAATTTTACCAACAGTTTTTGTTCAAAAATAGCTTACTCGACTTCTGCACTAATATTTTTCAAATAAAATTGAAAAAAGTTCATCTGAATATATTGTTCTCGCAAAAACAAAAAAAAAAAAAAGAAACAAAATTTATACAAAACCCCGATTATAAAAACAAAATCTATTATGTCTAAATACACATATGTAAATATATAATCTAAAAAAAAAACAATAAAAACAAATAATTGAAATCAAGCTGTGGCAGCTGTTAGTTCATTGATAGATAATTCTGTTATTTGAATATTTTTCTCTTTCTCTGGTTCAAGTGATTTTTCTTCTTTTGTCATTACTGTTGTACTATTATCTTTAAGATCCGATGTTAACGTTAATTTTGTATTTAATTCTCCTTCTAATGCATCCATTTGCTGTCGACTAAGATCATCATCTTCGCTACTGGCCACATCAAGGTCATGATCAATATCAGCTAAATTCATTTCATCATTATAATCTTCGTCATCATTGAGATTAGCGGGTAGTTTGAAACCCTGTAAAGAAATAGAAAATTCATAGATATATCGATTTGATAAAACAACTATTCCTGTATTTTTGGACGTTCATGCAGTTTTTATATTGATAAGCATGCATACTGAGTATTCTGAATGAATAATGCTCTTCGAACATGCTAGCATGCATAGGACGACGATGAAAATTTTCATCTGCATGCATATAATAATTCCTAACAAAAATTGACGTATGAGCAAGAAAAAAAATGAAGCATGCACATATTCTTTTTGAGCAGATCAATATAGTCGCATATCCCTTTTTTTCCCATGCTTGAGCTACGCGAAGGAGAAGGGCTTTATTGAACGATTCTTTTGGTTAAGTATGATGCAGCAATGATAAACAGAGTGTAGTTTATCCTCTTATATTCTGCTTTAATATAATACCTTCTGATTGAGATTTTTAGCAAGCTCTTTGTGAAATGCTAATCGAGCCCACGGAAGAAAATGAGCTGTATCATATACCTAGAAATATGTAGGGTTTACGTATTCGTTTGGTTTAAGAAAAATGAACAAGAACAATCGAAAAAGAACGGAAACACTTTGCGATTTAAGAATGAATGTGATTTCTGTTTGTCTCTACTTTTGAACTGTCAACTTTCACTAGTGTTTATCTAATCTATCTTCGCATAAAAACTAGCATATCTTTTATATCGATCTATCATTATTTTTCGTTTCTATATGACCACATGTACATCTACTACTATTAATACTTGCTATTTCCCTCGAGGTTATAAAAATCTTTCTGTTTGCACAAAGACGCATCTTTGAATGAACACCGATACATGTTAGCGTATACATATATCTTTGTTTGGTAATAGACTACGAAATTCACGCGCGTACACATACACACACATCACAAACACATCAACACGATTTCATGAGTTTATAAGTGCCTACTTTTTGTCGAAATTGTTCACAATTCAATTCCACCTTTGATAATTCATCTTCAACAGCTTCTTCCATTTTCAGATCATCTTCTAACTTTTTTAAGGCAGCATCAATTTTAGCTGTTAAGATAAATTGTAGAATAAAAAATCAGAATTTCTATTATCTCAAATACGTACTATCAAATGTAGTCACATCATCATAGTTGCTGAGGCCCATTCCAGCACTTGGACTCAAGTAAATGCCATCTTGGCTTGTTGAGTTATTATCAATATCATCATTTGATAATTCACTACTAGATTTTACTGAATGTTGTTGATTATCCATATGCCGATTTTTATTGGTCGTATTCTCACTTGTATTACTCAAACTATCATCATCCGCATCTAAATGAGCAGGATTTTCTTCATGAAGTGGTGTACCAATCAAATCTGTATGATTATCTTCCCAAAAGTCATCAGTTGGCAATACAAATTCACTAGCACCGCGTCCTAAAGCACTACCATGACCTAGAATAGTTGAAGTATAATCATTAGCATTCATTCTATGACGAAATTTGCTCGGTACAAGAACAATTTAACAAATAAAATAAGCAAAATTCGAAATACCTCTTCGATTTTGAGTTGATTTCTGGGTAAAATTCATTCGATATTGTCTATTATTATTTACACCGGTATTATTTCGTTGTCTCGATGGAAAAAAATTATCTAATCTATAGGCATCAAATTCATCATGCATATTATTATTATTATCGTAGTGTGTTCGAAATTGTTGTTGTGGACGTCGCTGACGATATTGATGGTTCGTATTATTATTATCGTTCATATAAGCCGATAATGGTAATGAATTCGTATTGTCTTGATGACGATTTAACCGTGCTCTTGATGATAAATTATAGTCATCTGTTGATCGTTTTGAAAAATAATTTGATTGTTGTTGTCCTGGTTGTTGCGAGTAATCATAGAATGATTTAGGTCGTTGCATACGATTTTGTTGTTGATTAAAACGAGGAGGACGTTCGTGATTAGCATATGCGTTGTTCGTATTCGAATTGTCATCTAATGGACGATGAACAGAATCAAAATCACCTGAAATCGGACGATGTCTATTCGTATTTGTTGAATGACGAAATGCTGGCTGTTGTTGATGTGGATTTTCATTATTTTGATCAGAAGTGAGTGAAAAATTTTGTGCTGAACGATAATGTTTGAGGTCTAAATAAATTTCAAGATATGAAGTTTAAACAGATAATTATTTATAGAAAAACATAACAATTACTAAAACTTCTTTTTGTTTCGAAACGCAGAAAAAGCGTAAAAAGATATTAATAATAGTTTAACACTTTAAGCTACTATTTTAACAATACTACCTTTGATTTCAAATAAAATTTAGTCAACTAATTAACCAAATGAAGATGATGATTATAGAATAAATTATGTTTTTTTACCATGATTATTGTTTGCATCAGGATATGTTGGAGACTGTTGTTGGTGCTGGTATTGTAGACGACGAAAACGTGGTGGAACTTCAGTTTGAGTAGAAAATTCATTTTGCGTTTGTAGACTATTTGTATTATGGTTGCTGTTCAATAAACGATTTGAATTTTGAAATGTTCTTGTTGGGTGAACGACTGTTGTCGAATGAGAATATGATTGTTGTTGATGATGATTCTGAGTATGTGATGGTGGAATAAAATCATTAGTAGTCTGATTGTTTTCTCCATTGTCAACAAATGCGGCATGACGATTTTGATGGTATGTTGGACGAGATGACGATGATGTTGGCATAGAACGATACCGAACGTCTGGATAAAAAAAGAGAGAAATATACGCTACTACATTCAAAGATCTAAAACTTAACAAAACGTTTTTCATTATTGGAGAATTTTATTACGATTACCCATAAACTTAAAACATAAAGACAGATAGAAACGATATTACTCGGGATCACTTACTCCAACAAATGATTAAGTGAACTACAATTATTCAAGTATCACAAAGTGAATAGGAGATTACGTACCATTGACGTTTGAGTTATTATAATCCAACTCGTGACTTAAACTATTATCCGTGTTATTATTATTATTCATGTTATTATTTTGATTATAAAATTGTTGTTGTGACTGTTGACGTGTATTGTTGTATACACCATTCCAATTTGGTACAGATGGTACATCAAGATGAAATTCAGCGTCTGTATTAGGACGAATTTGTTGACGTATACGACCTGAAAGAATAATGAAAAGTTTTTAATTAACGTTTTAAAATCTTTCTTCTCACTTACCATCTCTTCGTCTTGGACCACCAACATAGCCAGATTGTGTTTGTGGAAATCGACCACTTCCAATTCTTCCAGCTAGAAAAACAGAAAAAAAAAATGTTGCAAGTCAACAGCGTTTAAATAAAGTCAAGTAAAGTAGACTAAATTTTTGATAAATTAAAATTAGCAGCATTAAGAATTTGCTTGAGCCATTTTAGTTATTCTTGTTTAACAGTTCAAATTCGAAAATAAATTTTTTCATAGCAAAATAAGCATACAGAAAATTTGACAAGTAAAGCAAGAATGTTAATTCTAGTTAGAAATAGCAAGTTCAATTACTACATGCAAAAATATACTCTGCTATATATTTTCTCTAGACATAGATCATCTTAATAGACATTTTCTTTTGTAAAAAGAGAGATCTTCATTCTCTTCGCTGATTCTTAAACGAGTACATTTTTGTACCTTGTAACGTGTCGGAAAAGCTCAAGAAAATATTTTTTCCTTTTCAATTTTTCCATTTTAAAATAAAAAGTCGAATTAATGATGTAACGATAAAAAATTCTAAAAATATGATCGAGCAAAAAGTTATCAAAAATGCTATCCCAACTGTGCACAAATATAATAAAGCAAAAAAGAAAATTAGCGAACACTAATTTATGAGCAAGATAAATAGTAAAAAGTCAACGCACTTCAAGTTATTCGAGAAACTGGTAAACAAAATTTTTAACACACAAATGAAACAGGGCTTACTTTCAAACAAATCATCGTACATCAAATCAGTATTATCCATAGTTTAAAATATGATCTATAACCAAAAGTTTTCTGACGGTCTCATATCTTTAAAAAGAAACGAAAAAACATGTGCACATTTTTTTTTTTAAAATTCTTCCACATATATACACCCACAGAGAGAAAAAATCAAACTGTATTGTCTTATGTATATATATATATATGTATATGAGACAAATGGTTAAGAAATAAATAGATACATTTTGTTTTCATTCCTCTCTCTTCCTCCATTAAGTGACGTTCTTTTCTGTATGAGTGTGGGTATATAATACACGATACAATGTGGATATGATATTGTCCTTATTCAGTATAATTTATTTTAATGTTTCGATTTCCCTTTTATTCTTTTTTTTTTCTTCTTCTTCTGATGCTCAAAAAAGAAAATGTGCGTATGTTTTACTGTTTGAAAATAGTGTTTATTATCCAGGTATATACATACGCATTATCCTAATCTACACTATGGCGGTTATTTTTCTCCTTTCATTCGTTTAAGGATTTTTGACATTACAGGGATTCAATTGTTTCTTAATTTTTTTTGTACTTTGTTTGCTATATACCCACATATAGACTAATATATTTAACGTTTTTTTAAAAACAGAAAAACAGTTAAATATATTTGTACAACAACTAACTTGAGCAGACTACTCTTGAACATTTTTTTTATTTAAAAATCACGGATATATCTCAGAGGAAAAGTTGTTCGAACCATTTTTACGCACATCCACCATCTCCGCAATGCTATTATCATGAGAAAACACTGATTCAACTAAAAAAAATATACTACTGTCATTATAAAAGAATGGAAAACAAAGCTGCTACCTTTTCTGCTTTTTTTCTCCACCTCTTGAATTAGATTACACAATTTATATCACATAAAAACACAAATTTACATTTGATAAAAACGATTATTAGCTTTAAAAACTGTCAGAAAAAAGACAAAAAATCTTTTTCTACTTTTCAAATTGCTCGAAGTGGTATCATCCCTGATGGAAAGTAAAAATTAATAGAGATTTATTCGAAGCTCGATTTAAAACAGTAAACTTCCAACTAAATATTTTTGATATTTGTATCGATGGAAATAAACCCTGTATCATGAGAGATATCGTAATTATCAGTGAAATAGTTAGTACCTCTCTAAATTCTTTAAACTGCAAATAAATGCGAACAATAAAAAGATAAATATCTGCAAAAGCTACATAGGCGTAAGATATGCAGAAACCATTAAGCCTTGATCTTACTCCACAAGGTGGCATTGAAGCCGTTGCTCTATCTTATCTTGTCAAAATCTTTAATGTTTCTTTATATTCTGTTACAACAATTCATTCATCACATTGGCAAAAAAAAAAACGATTCTCCTAAAATTTCTTAGCAACAGAATGTCGTCGATCGTTTTATACGAACATATAAAGTTCTCTAGGAAAAAGTATTTAAAGGGAATCTAACACAAAAAAAGCAATTTTGAGATATCTTAATTTCCAAGTGTTTTCTACGTTTTTCAAACCGTTTCTAAAACCAAAACTCATTGGAAAACAAAACTGTTGAATCCAAGTACTTTTCTCACATCATGTCTAATTATTTTTGATTTCAAATATTTAGAGTAGATTCTTCCATGGCGCTGACTTGTGAGAAAGTTATAACCATTTTCTACTAGCTTTAAAATGCATAAAGGACTACACAGAAGAATTTCTCATAAACTTTTCTCATAATAATTGTTTTTATCTGATAGATTATAGATTAAACATGAACACAACGTTCTTCGTCGAGGGAAGTTTTTGAATATCTTTCTATTTTTGTGATAGTTACAATTCTCTAGAAGTTCTACATGCAGTTTTTGGACATTTAACTTGAATACATATCGATAACCAACGAAGAAATATAATCAGTTGAGCAGAAAGTTTCAAAACAAACTCTACTAGTGTATAAATAGTATAGTGACTATTTATCCCAAAGAAGTCTTTGTGATTTTGCTGAAAGATCCATTTTGACACTTGTAGTACACATAACTATGAATGATTGAATATTCTACGATGAAATTTTTTCTATAACATACAGATGCAATATCTTGCATTCTCTAAATCAATTACATGATGTGGTTTGAACTAGAGATGGTAACTTTTCCGTGCTCCACTGATTATTCATTTTTCAAATGTTTTTGTAATGCATGTCTGAAAATTTTCTAGCAGAGTGTAACCTATTTACACTCAATAACTTCTTATCCCTGACGAGTAACAATAAATTTTATTTTTGTGCGAGAGAAAGAAAAGTCCGACCCTCAATCGAATGCAAACACCTTTGAAGGTAAGATTCTCCCTTAAATTACACTAATTGCAAAGACAATTATATTAATTATATCTATATATTTTTTGAGTCAAATATAACTATAAAATGTTCAATGTTATACCTATTAACTCTGCAATCATCACCATTAGCTCTTAGTTGGTTTAGACTTTTTTCTGCATAAGAATAAAAATAAATCTCATTTTAAGCATAAACTGTTCAAGCACAAAATCAATTTTCCGCACATAGAAGTACGAACGAGTGAACTTAGTTTTACAATAAACCGTCAAACTTAATCCGCAGTTTGTAGCCCATATCTTGTAACAATTAGAGTTGGATGATGTCTCAATCTTATCAATGATGATTTTAAACCAAGCTCCCAGCTATTAACTACAAAAATAGGAAACTACATTGCAAGAAGTTCATGCTTTTTGTAAATGTTGTGTACTAGAGCAGCAGGAGGACGTTTTTTATGATCATCACTCAAAGGACTAATCGTGCATTATGTATATTTAAGAATTGACGGACTTGCAACATGCAAGAAAATATATATGACTTTTTTTCTCGCAATAACCTACCGGTATTATTAACAACAACCAACTTTTTCGGTGCTAATGGCTCATCGGCGTTATCTGGAGAGAAAGAAAGAATCAAAATAGATAATGAGACAGACAAAATATCAACTCTGAAACATAGTGTATGTACAAGACGCCACTAGTGGATAGAACCGAATATGTACAATTATGGATTACCATTGCTTTATCGTATACGAAATGAAACAATAAATATCAAACATACAAAGTAGATACAAACGATGGGTTTGATTAAGACAGCAAGCGTAAAAACTATTTATCTACGATTATAACTAATCTAATATAAAATTTGATAGTTTCATGAGCTAGTCCGTGATCAGAACGTTAATACGTCTTTTAATTGTAATTAACAAACTTTGACTTTATTCACACGGACTACACTACTGAAACCATAGCGGTGCGACAAAAATAAAAAATGATCCAAATGTGGTGTCAAGAACTGCTGTAGAAGATGTGAACAATGCATTTTACCGTTATGATTACTTCCATAACGTTCATGAAACCGATAAATATTGTCTGAAAATCACAGAACATATCTGCGAACATTGTTTTCATACATAATCTCTTTTTCTCTCTTTCTATCTTTTTCGCTTATACACACTAATAATAATAATTAATTATCTTACCATTATTATCATGATATGAACGATTTGTATGATAAGGATAAGCATATTCCAATCTAAAGAAGTTAAAATTTATAAAGAAGATCGTCGAGAAAAACATACATATTATCTTTTCACAACATACAGTTCGGGATTAACATTGTTATTATTTTGATTATTTATCTCATATTGACGCTGTCGTTTTAATTTATTATAATCAACACGTTGCGGTAATTCATTATTAGTTGCTCGATTCTAACAACAAATACAAGAGAAATGTCACTTTCTAAATGTCAATTTACTTTTTTTAGGTACATTATTCTCAAATTTTCTTCTCATCGGTGGTCGATGTATACGTTCTGTGGGATGTTGATGAGTGTCCTAGAACAACAATAACAATAAGAAAATGGATGGTCATCACTTAAAAAACATTTATACTTGAGGTATTTGTAAACGAACATGTTTGCCTTTACTCGTACGTGGTCGACCATCCTAGAATTTATAAATGAAATAGGATGTAAACAGACACAAAAAAATATGAAATCATAACTAACAGTGTGAAGAATCATTTTTATCGCTCCCGTTTGTTCAGCTTGTTGACGATCTTCTTCTATTTCCTATAAAAAAAAAAATAATATTATGCGTTGATAGAGTTAAAACATTGTATGTATACTGATGGATAATAATCACCATTTTATATCATTGAAATATACACTCTAATGAATTCGAATTAGCGTGTACCACTATACAAAAAAAAACGATCAATATCATTCTTCAATCTTTCTTTAGTTAGATAAAGTATACTCTTTCAAATTCAATATGTAAAGCATCGCCATCCTTAAAATTTGACAGATTTTTTATTCTTACTGACAAGTTTTGATGTTGATATATTACAAAGAAATCTTTAGACAAATGATATTTTTATACAAATTTATGAACAAAAAATAATGTAATGTTTGACAATATAATATCTCCATGTCAACAGGATATTCATCTACCTCAATTAGCAATGTTTATCAATAATATTATTACAAGGTCATCAAACAGTAGTACAAAAGTTGAAGGATCATCTTGTTAGCATTGTTGTTTGCTAAGCGAACAAGTACAACGTACACTTATTACCTTATTTACGCAAAAAAAAAAATGAAGGATTTTGTCCAGAAATTCCGTTTGAACAATATAGCGAACAAATTAAACGAAATTGTGACTTTTACACAGTACTTGGAAAAACAGTTAAAAAAAGGCAGAAATGTGGTTGGAATTTAATAATATTGATTATCTCTACTCTCGAACATAAATGAACCGATTTAAAATAAAATTTTCTTTATCTTATGTGTCGAATTGAGCCTGGAAGAAAAAGTGTGTATGTGACCATAATTATTCAATCATGTACTGTGTACTTCCAAGGCCGAAACAGATTTATTCATTGCTTTTCGTACTCTTGTGGACAAAAAAAATGCGCTTCTCATAAAGACTGGCTATCCATCCTATTATGGGCAAAAAAAAAATATGCATGTGTCCAATCATTTAGAAATGATGCTATTCAATAGTCATTCAACACTATAGTCGATTAAAAAATACAAAGAACGTAGATGTCCCAGAAAAATAAAACTAATACTATTAAAGATTAATATTTTTATTAATATTTATTTACGTTTGTTGCAGCTGTTTCTTCCATATGTGCATAAGAAGTTGTAAGAAATATCATATAGAAAGAACGGTGATTACAACAGAATAATAACCTATCAAGATTCACTTCAACGACAAAAAGAAACTTTTATTATAAATGAGTTCATTTGTGTTCAAAAATCAATATTTTCAAATTTCGAGTTCATTATTGTTTTTTTTCCGCTAAATTAACCATCTCGACCTTCAATTTGCTATTTTTAAGAACTTGTCTGAAAAGTACAAAAAATGTGAGAACTTGATTGTAATTGATTACTCAGATGAATAATTGAAATAGAGTGACTATCTAACTTGAAATCACTTTTCTATGTTAAAAACAAGAATTATAGAAGTAAGCATAGTAGACAATCAGATAGAATACAAAATTCTAGAAATTTAGTCTACTTTTTGAATAATTACAAAGTACGATTTAGTGTCTACGAAAATGAGTGGAATTCCAAAACATTTTAAGAGTAGAACGCTATATTCGAAAAGTTCAGGTATTGCTCGTTATACGACCTGTTTGCGTAACGGTCCACTTTTCGTAAGTCCATTACATTTTATCAACATTTTAATCCTGTGACGGAAACTCATACAGGGCTGGAAAACGTCTTATTTTAAAGAGCAAACATTTTTCTTTAAAATGATAATTAAGATAACGTTGTTAGTTTATCGTGTGTTTGTATACAGACTACAAATGCATGACTCGGCATCTGTTTCAACGGTTACAAATCTATAAATTTATCAACTATCAGCATTTACTTAATTATCAATTTGAAGAAAAAAATCTTTACTCTTTTAAAACAAGACGTTTTTCGACTTTGTTTAAGTTTTAATTGTCACACTAACATGATCAATATGAAAAAAATGTAACAGACTTACGGTGTTACGCGAACTAGCCGTTATGACAAGATGTGAGTTTTGAATTTCCAATGGAAATGAAAACTGAAAAATTAGTACAAGAAGTTACATGCCAAATAACGAACTTCAGAAAAAATGTGTTGCTCTAGAATTCGTTAATTCATTCGCTAAGCCACTGTTAAAATCATATAAGATAAAGTTAAACGTGTTTGTGAGTACACAATATGAAAAACATATTAGAATTAGAATGATGTTGCGGAAAAAATACGTTTTGATTGAGGATTAGGACTAACGATATATCTAAAAATGCTTCTACTACTAGAAGATCAAATAAAAAAAAAGGAATATGTAATAGACTAGTCTCGTTAAATAAGTGATAAAGTATTGTCCTAGAAAACCAATAGCATATCATGAACTCTGTTTTCAGTCAACACATACTTTTCGTCCAATAATTTCTTCTTATAAATTATATAGCGTTTAACGTTCCGTTACAAAACGTATCCAAAATCATTTTTTTTCTTGCTTATATATTTAATATACTCGATAAAAAGAATAAAACGGACATATTTATCCACAACAAAACTCATATATATCGAGACAATACTGTTCTTCTGTAAAAAGTAACTTATCCTGGAGTTCCAAATTGTATATGTGTGTCAAATGAAAAAAAGGAAAAATTTAGCACTTCATATATATGTATAACACACTACAGAAGAAATACTTACGTATATGCCATCCATATGTTTTATATACTTTGAGCGAGAAAGAGAGAAAACTGTCAAATTTTCTTTTTTTTCCACACCATTGCGCTCGCACTCGCGAGAGGGAGACAAAGAACACTTAGTATCCAACATCATTATTATTCTACTTGTCCTACTTTCTTTTTTTTTTTTTGTAAAATTAAATAAACAAAAGTGATTTTATGTATGTATGTGTCTTATGATATTTGTCTAATCGCTCTAATTAATCTTCCCTCTTAAAGTATAGGTTTCTGATTATACATACTTTATGTCGTTTTAACATTTCTAAATTTTTAATACGCATTTCTTCCATTTTTCGATCGATTTCCGATTTTCGATCTTGTTCATTTGTTGAAACGTTCATCTAAAATTGAACAAGAGTATATATACAATGGCATAGATAAATAGAACATGTTTCAAATCTAGATGTAAAACGCGATTCAAATATACTTATTTATAATATAGATCAATGTTCTTTTATTTTTTGTTTTGTGTTCATCATCAGAACGGTGCTTTATCTTATGATGATGTTCTTTCTTTATTTCTGCTGTGTAAGAAATCTGTTCTCAGTCATACAAATAAAAAGGACGCCAATTGCTTGATTACATAAACATAATGCCGTTAGGATAGAAATATGTTTGGTAACACATCAGAAAAATAATAGAATAAGGCAATTCGATCAAATATGAATTGTTTAACAGAGATGAGTCATATTTTGCTCTTTCTATCTATTCAAAGTATTCTAGTTTCGTGATGAATGAATGATACTATGAGAACATTATCTCATCTTCATTTTCTATCTATAATTCTGGATTTAAGAAAACAACAAAGTAATACATTAATCAACAAAGATGGGTAAATCAGTTTGATTATAATTTTTCTAAGAATAGATCATTTATCAAGTATTCGGATATTTCTTCCTTGAGGCTACTAATTTGTAGTGAAATTTAAATGTTTCTCGGTATGATTAATTTATTCTTCATTTGTGAATAAGAATAAAAACCAATTATATGGTAAATGGTAGAATGATATGTTCAATTACCGTACAAAAAACCCGGTGCATATATATATTTAATAAATTATACCTTGATTATTCTTTTCTCTATGTATTAGTCTCTTTGTTACATATGTACAAACATCAATTTATTTTTTTTATTTGTACAATCACTTCTATTGTCGCACTGACCTCGAATACAAAAATTATCTGTTGTAAGGTAAAATTCGTATACAAACACATACACATATTATAGTTATTACTTTTCGTTTGATAAAGACGTCTAATAACCAGCAATTAATAATAATCATCTGTGTACATATTTTCTTTACACATGACGTGTAAAACACGTTCGTATGTGACAAAAACGCTTAATTGCTTCAAAAGGCAAGAAAACATGTCAAAACAGCTTCGATTTTATTTTTGTTTTTTTTGTTACACATTTTGCGTTTTGGTAACAACAGATAAGTAATGAAAAGAGATAAAACAATAGAGAGACAATTAGAAATACAAGTAATAGAGTTTGGCTATCGAAAATAAAAGACCACTTTCTCCTTAGTTAAAATTGTCACGGTTCTCTAAATCGGATACAACATTTTGTCAAGACGATTTTTCAGATATCTTTTACTTATGACGAATTCATGTTTCATTTGATTCGGACGTCCAATGTACAAAAAAAGAGAAGAGAATCATCCTAATCAAATAGTTGATAGAAAGTAAAGCGTTTTATATTAAGTCATCAAACAAAATAACATCCCAAAATTCTTGTGATATAGACGATTTTGATTCACAAAACTTTAGATTAGAAATTTCAAGCAGTGAACGAACTATTTACCTGATCAAATTGTCGATTATGCTCAATCTCATGTAATGATAATGATCTGATACAAACATAATAGCGTCCAAAACATTCATTCGTTTACTCATTCTCACATTTCAGAACAAATAAAAAAAGCTGTAAAGAACAAAGAAGAGAAAAAGAGAAGTGAGAGGATGGCTTTATACATACACCACATATATTTAATGATGATACAATTGAATCAAACGAAGAGGGAGAGCAAAAGAGAAAGTGCAACACTACTGACTGGATTTCTCATCGGTCTATACCAGAAAGATGTGTCGATGCATGATGATCATAAAGATCAAATTTTTATTTTGTTTTGTGTTTTTTTTTCATTTAGAAAGAATAATAGCAAAAATATGTATAGAATGGAGCCTACGGACAAAGAAAAGAATAGCCAAACGATTTGTTTAATAACCCATTCATACATAAACTCTATTACAGCTGAATATGATAAATGAACAACGGATGCATCAAAGAACGTTAGAAATATTCTTAAAACAAAAAAAGAAGATGATTAAGAAAACTGACCGAGGTGATACGATCAAAATCAATTGTCTACCCCTGAATACGTGAATGCCACTTTATCTTTTTCAAGTTATTACAAAATACTATTCTGATTTATATTTCGATTCGCTTCAGAAATAGTTTCCATTTTAAAGTCAGAATAGATAGAATAAAGAAGAATGAAAAGAGTAAAATAACAACATGTTTTATTTTAAATATTCCATACATGTACTTGGAATGGCCCATGACTATACTAAATTTCAGATTAATAATTTAGTGGGATATATGATATTAATTAATGATGAACTATGAACTTCTGATATTTTTTCTGTTGTCTGTTTATTAGATACAGTTTTTCTTTGTATTATCTACTGATGTTTCTCATTTTGAACTATAATAGTCTCTTCCCTGATCGTTTTTTGCAAATAAGACAAAAGAAAAGAACAACTTAGAACCGATATGTATATGCAGATATATATATATATATATATATTGTTTAATTAAAAAATACATAGAAAGAAACAGAGATCAATTATTTTGATCTCATTATAATAATTATATACCTTTTTCTCATAGATATTAATAAAATACAAATCGACAATATAATCAAACTTTTTATCAAAATTCTATCATTTATTTCTCACAATTTATATCAAACAAATAGATTTTTCATAAAGACATACATAATAATAGAAACGTTCTAAATTATGAAATTAGACTAACTACAGTGAGAGTTTGTCGACTAGTAATGATGCTGTAATCTTACCATCTGTTTTACATCTACATTACTATCAATTTTCATTCAATCATGACATGCAGAGCAATCACAAGAAACTCTCTTAACTGGCACCCATCAGCTCTATTAATTAGATTAGAACATGCTAAATATTACAATCGAGTAATCACTGTGACTAAGGTAAATAATATTATCTTACCATTGTTCGTCTGGAATTTTCCCTTAAGTAAACTAATTAAGGTACAAATGTCTTCCACCAGATAATAAAAAAATGACAATCCTGTTGTCGCATAATTAATTGTGTTCATCTAGACGAGCAGAGAGAGAGAGTATAGACAAGTTGTCTTTAATTAGTTCAACAGAGTTCATTTACCTAATTTAATTTAGTTATCAATTTTTTTCGCTGTTTTAGAATTTCTTGATTTAATTGAATAGATTTCAAAACTAAAACAATACAAATTACATTATTTAATATACAAGAATAATGTAATGAAAACCATTTACTTACTAGATGATCTAATTTTCTTTAGTCTGAGATGAAAATGATCTTCAATTAACTTTCGCATCGAATAAGTCCAATCTTAAAGAATAATAAGTGCTATTAGTATTATCAAGTCACCTATCAAATTACACGTTAAAAATGTCAAAATTGGCGAAGAACTGTAAGAACAAGTAATTTATTTACAACTGTGAGAGAAAAATACAAAATTTCGACATATACAATGTCTTTCTAATAATAACATTATCAATTAATCTAGTCGAAGGTAACGATTTTTAAAATATTATAAAATTCTACTAGATGTCTACATCGAACGGGTATGGTTACAAACCATGTTGTTACTATCAATATACGATTGACATTTTTTTTTCTCTCATTCATCGTTACCATATTCATTATTAAGACGCTAACCTACAATTCCATTAGAAAAACAAAACAAAACAAAAATACAAATCATACATACAAACAAAGAAATCAAAAGATCATAAACAGAAGAAAAGTAAAAAGATTATAAAAAAATAACCACAAAATACAGACTAATAATCTATACTAAAATCTGACTTTAAATATAATGGCCATTTTATTTGTGATGATAATTATTAGCATCTTATTTTTGTCCATATAGTTATGATATTTTGAATATAGTTTCTATTGACTTGAAATTATTATTGTATCTTGTTGTTTTAATCGTCGTTCAATTTCATTTAAAACAGGCTAAAAATACATTGAAAATAGATTATAAAAACAAAATAGAAATAAATAAGTAAAATACTATTCTATACCATTAGATATTTTTTCCAAGCCAAACATTCATCATTATCTAAATCATCTATGTTCGTTTCATGATCATTTTTATCCATTGGAAAATGTTCTTTTAAAATTTTATATGAATTTTGACTTTTGATATTTAATTTACTCAAACAATAGGCAATATTTTGTCGTTTACGATCATCACTAGAAAAAAATAACAATTTCATCACACTTTATGTCTGTCATAAGATCAACACTTCGATCCTTTGACTCATCATCCAGTGTTATTTCAAAACTCGAACGAATGTTTTCATACAGAATGTCAAATATGGTCTGAACCATTTCGAAACATTTAGTTTCGTCTATAATTCAACTGTTATGAATAATATGCTTGGTCAAAGGAAAAAGAACTGAAATCTTCATTTACGTAAAAAGACTAAATTATCAGATTATATTATGTTACTTACCAAGATAATTTAAATTGTCTACAGAGTTTTTTAACAAGAATTTCACACTGTCTATCATTTTTAACATATTGAAATAGATGAGCAATAATTTGATGAAACATATCGAGTGTTATCAATTTTCCCTCATTTGTACTGTTCATTTTAATATTGATGTTATCATTAATATTACCATTGACATCACTATTCATTGTTGATAATCGACTAATAATATCAGGCATTACATTAAATAGTGCTAATCCACGATTACGCACAGATAATTCCGAGAAAAAATGATATGCTAAACTGGCTATAGACACATTGGAATGTAATAAACAAATAGCTATTTCACTAATATATCCACGAACTTTAATCATTTCTCTAAGTATTAATACAGCTATTGTACATAGTGTTGTCTCACTGACACTAATATCTTTATCGTGTATTTGTTTATAAAATTCTGGTGTGTATGGTTCAATAATATTTGGATGTCTAGAAAAAAAATAATAAAATAATGTAAAATTTTACTGTAAATAGATGTCGGCAGATATTTTACCTAAGTAATAAATCTCCTAAGGATACAATTAATGCTGAACGAACACCGGCATACGGACATGTATTTAAAAATTGAAATGTTCGATTAACATATTTGGAACATAATTGTGGTGAAACAAACATATAACGAGTTAATGTCATGATAGCAGTCATTACTAAATAGTACAACGAAAAATAGTGTGTATAAATTACATACAACTCTCTTCTTTGATCATTTACCTAAATCTTCTTCAGAATCATAGACATTTGTTTGTACATCGATAAAAAACTAAAAAAATAAATAGAAAGAAAATAGTTGATCTGATGATTGAACAAAATTAAATTTACATTGTCAAGCCATCTTTCCACTAGTAAAACGAGTGAATCTTCATTTTCTAATTGTGTTAAATCAAATTGCTGTTGTAAATAAATTTGATCTGAATCTTGTTGTTCACATCCGTCTGTTAAATCATTCATTTCATTATCATCATCATCATCGTCATCATCATCATCACCATCATCATTATTATCATCATCATCATCATCATCATTATCATCATGATCATCACCATTAATTGTCATGAATGGTTTTTGAGGAAAAATCTTATTCTTAATATCTGACGATTGTTTTTTTAACTTTTTTTTTTGTTCAACAAATACATCATCATCTATTAATAAATTGTTATCAGTTATTTCTAATACATTACCATTCGTTACTGAATGTTTATTTTTATTGTTTATTTTTGTATTCACTTGTCGTACTTGATTAATTAGAAAAACATTAACAGTTGCTAATAATTTAATTAATAATGTTTTATTTTGTTCAGTACATTTTAAATTTTCAAACCATGTTATTCTATCATCAGAATGATTTATTGATGTTGAACGTAATTTTTCAACAATAAAATGAATAAATCTCATACCAATTTCAATTGATAATATTTTTGATTTTTCACTAATAAATAATAGATTTAAAAATTGTTTCATACACGGTATCCAATCATTTATTGATGTTGTATCATTAATTAATTTTGTTATGATTGTATCATAAAATAAATAGGTTAATTGTTTACGATCATTTAAATGTGTTAAAAATAGATGATACAATATTTCTAATTGATATCGAATATAAACAAGATTAGTTTCATGATGACGTACATCTAAGAGTAGAAGATTATCAATAATTTTATCAACATGTTTCCATAGAATATCTGGACTATAATCAATAACTAATGAAACAAGTTTGAGAAACAAACATTGACGATGTTTATCACCGGTTAAATAAAGATAAAAATCATCAGTCATATATTTGTTGTTATAATTGTTATCAATAGTCATCATTAGATAATAATCATATAGAACATCAATAAATGCCACATTAATTTCTTTTCGATCGAATAACTGTTTTAATATATGTTCAAATGTTATATCAAAATCAACATCAATATGTAATAATAATTTTTCAATAATATTTTTATGTGATATTCTAAGAATAAATAAAAATGTTGATGATAATAGAGAATGTATTTTTTCGATATCTTATCATTTTATCCATAGAAATATCAGAAAATAAGTTAAATTATCTCAATAAAAATTAGAATTTTTAATAAAGATAGACCTACCGTTCATCTTTTATTTTTGTATTGTCAATATTTAGATAAATTCGTTTAAAAGCATCGATGACAGCTGCTGTTATATTTTTATCTGTTGACCATATTAATGAAAATAAATTTTGTTCATTTTGTTTATAATCACTGGAATATGAATCAAATGATGACCATATAATTAAAAATTCAATTATTTCTAAAACATCACTGGATATTTTACTTTTAAGTAAATAAATTAATTCAACGTTTAAAAAATGTCGAAATAAATTACAAAATTCATTGGCATTATATAAATAACAAACAATACGTTGTTGTTTAATCATATCATTTAAAAGTTCTAAAATAAAATAAAGTAAATGATATTTTAGTCAAGCAGAACATATCAATCTTCACTTCTTATTTCAACTACTGAGAGAGATACGTCAACAAATCAATAATGTCATAAGAAAAAAATAACGTACAGTAATAATAAAATGCATGATGCTAACACGTAAAACACCGCTTGATATTTAACGAGTGGCCCATAATAAATTACACTAAATGTTAATGCATTTTTCTATGACTTTCTGTTTATAATAAAATTCCTTTATATGACAAATAATAGAACATTTAATTCTCTATAAGACTGTATAGTCACTTTTAAGATTCATCTTTGATATTTTATGCAGTAACTCTAACAATGAAGCTCTACATGTTTTAATTGTACGAGATGGTTTTAAAGTACAAACTGCTCTCTTTCTTTAATTGTTTATAATTAGTACAAAAAAATTTTAAATAATTTTATTAACATCAAATGATGCAGAATTTCATGCTTTACAAAATAGTTTATTTGAAGTTAATTTATTTCAATTGCTAATGGCTTTAATAGATAAACTTCCAAGTACACCAAAGTTTCTAGCACGGTCTGTTCGCAGGTAATGCAATGACACACTTTCAGCATCAATGTTTATTTTCTCACACTTGTAGGCAGGAGTAAAAGCAAATGTTTTATTATTTATTACACCTCGATGGCTTCTATCAATGGTATAAAAAATTTCGAGTTACTACTTATCATTCAAATACTGCAGCGTTTATACGGTCGGTAACGCGATGACCAAAAATGGAAGTACTTTCCAGTGGCAGTTAAAGAGTTCTGATTTTCTCTAGATGTAGGTGATATTGATGAGAGTATCTAATGGATGGTTTTTAGCTATAGCGTAGGGTAGGGCTTTTGAAATATCAGATTGAAATTTTAATCAAGGGTCTGGTTATTTATCTGCAGATCAAGATTATGGTAACGCGATGACATCCTTTCATTGCATCCGATAAGTTTTTTTAAGTATACACTGCAAAGAAAACTTATCAAAAAGGATAAATCTAGTTCATTTATACTTGTACTTATGATGCGTGGAACAAACTTGAGTGGGTGTGCCATCAGTACAAATTTACAGATGACTGCAAATAGAACTTTGGTAATGCATGGGGTACCGTTAGCCGGACACTAAAAAAGCTTTTTGACAATATTTCAATATAAAGTTCAAATCATTAATTTATAGGCCAAAAACTGTAGAAATTCGTGCTCTATTAGACTGTATAACTTACAAAATAAAACTGCTACTTTTTTATCTGGAAAACTAGAGGATACTAGATGGACTGTTTTTCGTTCGGATTTTATCTAAAAATTATCATTTCTCATTGAAAAAAAAACCATCATTTAGTAAAGAATTCCTTGCTGAATTTTTCGGTAAACCTTGTTTTGTTAAATAAGTGATTTTTAGCGAGGTTTTGCGCAATAAATCGATTTTTTGAAGGTGTAATTACAAAATGTGGAGCTTTTCTTGTTAGAGCTATTGCATCAAATATCAAAAAATGAATCTTAAAAATGACTATACAGTCTTGTAGAGAATTAAATTCTCTATTGTTTATCATATAAAGGAAATTTTTTTATAAATAGAAAGTTATAGAAAAATGCATTAACATTTAGTGTAATTTATTATGAGCCATCCGTTAAGTTGGCATCAAGTCAGCTGAAATTTAACAAAATCTATCTGTAAGTTCTGAAACAACATGTAAGTTATAACGGATGCGGCAGAATAACTATCATTCATACTATTTTTTTGAAGAATTGCTTTATTATTAATCAAGTAGACTTAGGCAAAAAGATTCACTACTTTATTCTCTACAAGAAATATATTGAACATTTTTCTCTATACTATAAAACTAAAAGAATATAGAAATGCTGCGAAACTTCAATCTTGACAGTGTTCGAACTTCAAAAAGTCGTTTTTTCATGTTGAGACAGAGCCTTTTTCTTTTATCCATTTTGTCGAAAAATGTCGCTTTCAAACTGCAATTGTGGGTCAGTTGATTAAAAATTTTGTAACTCGGATAAAATCAAACGTTTTGAGATCAAATCCTTTTTATCTTGAAGTAGAATAATTCTTCTATCATATACGAAATAGAGAAAATTCAATAGTTCCATTTCTTTTTCTATACCAATGAGAAAAAGTCAAATTGCCTGTTTTTCTGATGAATTTTGATAAAATCACTTTATATCAGAGAACATGTTTAAAGTGAACTGATGGTACACGAAAAGAATGACGTCACTTCGAGCCACTGGAACATATACATTTCGATTCCACATTGCTGTATAAAACCATGTTTAAAATTTTCTTTTTCATTACGTTTTGGATTAGAAAACTGAAAGTTAAAAACTCGCAGCATTTCTTCTATATTTTTTTTACTTTTTGCAGTATATAGAAAAATGTTCAATATGTTTCTTGTAGAGAATGAAATAGTGAATCTTTTTACCTAAATCTACTGGACTAATTATAAAGTAATTCTTCAAAACATACTAACGGTGACATTATGAATGTAAGAAAACTCAAATAAAAACTAATCTATCGAGTATAAACTTTGAGATGTATAAAGAAAACTGCTATGAAAAACAAATGGTAAGTTTTCTATACTTACCCCCCACCTCACCTAGTGAATATTCACGATTTTCAATATTATCTAATGTATCATCATTATTCTCTCCACTCATTAATAATGAAATTAATTGAGATTGATATTTAATTGATTTATCCATTTCAGCATTATAACGTTCAAATGGAATAAATTGATCGTCATCATTATACATTGAACAGACAATATGTTGTTGATCAATCATTTTTTTAAATAAAATATTTTTATTGTCATCATTATCATCAATGTCATTGATCACTGTCATTGACGTTGATTCATCAACTTTTACATTTTTTATGTCTAATATTTCACACAATTTTGTTTCTAAACATATTAATTTATTCATTTCATTTCTATATTCATCAATCATAATGTTACATGGTAAAAACTAGAAGGGAAAAAAAAGAAGATTTCATGTAATCATTCAATCACTTTATATTAGATGTTTTGTGCGATTCTTGTTCCGGTGAATTTCTACAAGGTATGTACAACGTATAGGCTAGAAAATAGAATATTTCAATCTAACACGTACACATTATGTTACTGTAAAAAAAAAGAAACGGATCTCTGCAACAGATTTTGTTGCCATTAGTCAACTGACAACAGACGAATATCTTATCTAATATATTTTTTCTTACTTCATTTGTATATGGATTATGCTTGATTAACTTTGTTGCCAATTGAATAGCATATTTTCTGACAATACATGATATATCATTCATTCTTTCAATTGTGGCTTTAGCCAGATGACAATAGAATACAACGGGTAATAAATTTATTTCTACAAGACTACCACATAATTGAAGAGCATGTGAACGAACATGAACATTAATGTCAATAAAATATTGATCAACAATAAGCACCAATAAATCTTTTCGTAAATCTTTACTACTATCATTATTACAATATTTAATAATATCAACACATATATTCAGTAAACAATTTCACATTTGAATACAGTCACTATCAAATAGTTCTGTTAATGTATCGATATATAAAATTAAATGATCGGGAATATGTTTTGATAATTCATTTAAAAATTGAGCAAATATTTTTGATGAAGCATCGGTTTGTTTACTCAATTGACATATGTCACTAAAAATATATAAAAAAGCTTGTCAACATTGCTTCTACGAAGCAAAAATGTGAAAACTTCCTACTGAACTGTTGAACTATAACATAGAACATGTAATGATATATCATAATAATTTTTAAAACTTGTGTCTAAAAACATCAGATGCACTGTCTATTATTAGTCTATTCAGTAGCTGTAAATAGCAAATTTATATTGAAATTTGGCCAATTACATTTCATCCCGAAAGTTTACGGCTACTGAATTGTGTGTTTGCAGCTACTGGAAATTATGTTTACAGTTACCGACAAAAAATCCTGTG